AGAGAGAGAGAGAGAGAGAGAGAGAGAGAGAGAGAGAATTGAGATGATTAGAGATAGAAACAGTTTCACGGATGAGGGTTCAGTTGTAAAGAACATTGAACTTCTCTAGACCCTGTACTGTGATTGGTTTGTGTTGATAAATTTTGAATCATTATCTCCTTAAATGTTCGAGAGAGGTGTCGTACTTAAATCATTATGCCATTAGTTGTAAAGTCTTGTCGCTTAATTGGATCTTTACACTGTGTAAAACCTTCTTATTAGCATAGTTCCGAAGAGAGTTCAGCCGACTGTAATGGGCAATGTAAAAGTATATATACCGATGTTGTGCACTTTATGTGATTTCACGCTGTGATAGAAGATTTCAGCTGTCGTCAAGATAAAGGTAGGGAATGGAATTTGTGTATCCAGTGAGATTATCCTGAAATCACTAAGCCGCTGACGCTGTGATACACCCTCGATAGCGATCTAGCCCGTAGCTATCCCTTGCCTCCAGGCAAAGATACACAAGCACTCCAGCTCTCGCGTACTGGGGTTTATATTAGGTTTTTCCCGTGGGCCAGATGTCAATCTGTAGAGGGTCATATGTGTCCCTTCGCGAGTATATTTATGTACACAGAAGCTTATCGCTCGATATTGTGGCCGCGATCTGAACACATGCTGCAAAATTCGATACAACCGCGCGAGTCGGGTCTACAAACTTGCAACATCTTGCCACTCAAATTGAGTTCAATTTTCTCACGTAATATCGGAGCAGGACCGACTGTGAACACTTTTATCTCTTTATCAATACTTACACACTTAAGGAAAAAGTGTGCCGTCCACTACCATGGTATTTTATTACTCATGCTGGCTTTGGAATGGAATAGAGAGTGTTTAACGCGCATCAGGAAACTCCGAAATGGTGAGAACAAATCGGACGCAATTCTTACTTTAAAAAGCGCATGTATACTGAATAAAAAGGCACGGACCGTAACTCTGAAGTCTGCGAATTTGCTGCACTCGGTTGTATTTTGCTGTGGGTTTTTTTTCTTGTCTTTTTTAAAAATTTACAATCGTTGTTATGTTGTGAGCATGCGTGATAAAAAAAATATGCTTCAATCCGTTCACAGGTATTTTTGTTTATTTTTAAAGCCCTCCAAAGAATCGGACAAGGAATTTTACTAAAACATTTATTTGCTTTCTTTAAACTTTGGATGTGCTTGGCAGAGTGTGTAGACATCGCTTGCTCTGATAAGGAGCCATGTGTTTTATCGAGTCGCTCCGGGGTGGATGTGATTACCTCAATTTGTGCCCTTTTCAGAGTTGTTAAAGCAACAGTGCGTTTCAAAAGGTCTTCATTAATTTGTCTAAAAAACGGACAATATTAGGACTCGCGTCCCTCATTCCAGGAGTGGCAACGATCACTTAGGTTGTTGATTGCCTCTACTTTTCATCGATTCTTGTGTCGTTCTTCTTTTTAATTTGTTCCCCTCCGTGTTTACCTCACTTTGTGTGATGAGCAATGTCTACTTCTGTAGCAGGTACAGGTGTGCTTACTGACGATCGGATGATATAATTATAATACACACTCACACACACACACGCACGCTAACACATACACACACACACACACACACACACACACACACACA